AAGAGAACTCAAAACTGCAAAGGCCAATGCCATGAAGATGCTTGGAGTGGAGAACCTGGAACTTCCTGAGAGTGCGAAACCAATCCTGTTGGAGGCATCAGAGTCCAAATGGGCGCCACCAGAGCCACGGACAAGGGTGAGACGAGATCCTGAAAAGACTCCCTCACAGGTGGGTGTCTCAGAGTGAATGTTGGCCTCATACTGAACACAGCACACCTAAAGATAAGGCTGTCACAGATTTTGATTAAAGCCTTATTACTATTTTTTTTCCATTTTCTTGGGATTAGTTGTAAATACAAAACAGTGTGAGAATTTTAGGGATACTTGTGCACAACTGTGCCCTAACAGACATTTACCTCATGGGTAATGTAGGAACATTATTTATTTATTTATTTACTTTAAAGCACTGCTCCAGTTGTCACACCATTTTAACAAAGTTTCAACAAACCTACAATTTAAAAAGCAATGTAATGTCTACAGATGTCTGATTAGCTTGAGGCTTATGTTGTGTTGAATTTCCTGTCTTGTATTAACCTTTGGACCCCTGGGGGAACACACATTCTCTGTATTTATTCCTGTCTTCATAGATAACATGACAGTGGTCTCCTTCACTCATCGGCACCTGGGATTAAAAGGCTGTCATGTGACATGGGTGACGACAAAATGTGTTTGTGTGAAAGGTTAAATTGTGTAATGTTGAAATGTCCTGTATCAGGTAGAGGTTAGCAATTACAGAAACACTTGTAGATGACCTCACATTAAACATGTTGCATACAGATGCTAATTACACACATAGATACCAAGTGATGTACACGAATTTTAGCTTGCATAAGACTGACTACACTTCATATAGTAAGGCTGTAAAATCTTGCCATTACATATGTATTTATTGCTTGCACTTGAAACGAGTCATTGTTATTTAGCAGAATCTTCCACTTGCTGATGGAGCACAGTTGTGTGGACTGCGTTATAGTGACTATTCCTGTCAAGAACTAAAAACAGATGAAGAAGTCGTCTCCATATGCCAAAGATAAGTTGGTACACAAGATGTGTGCCACTCAAGACAAACAAGACATCCTTTTTACTTTGACATTTTGCTTGTTTTTTCTGTTTCATTGTTTCAAGGTCTGTCCTTGAGGCATTCATTTAATGGTTGAGTCTAGCCTTTGACAACAGTTTGAGGGAGGTGGTGCATGAAAGCTGTAGTTTGTTGAAGCTAATACTTGAACAGTTAAGAGTATCTATGCAGTATTAAGGCCATTACAATATTTGTAATGAAACCTATGGTCCATCTATACGAACATCACAAACCGTCAAAGCTCACTCTAGTTTCGGTTGTACACGTCTAAGTTTGGCTTTCTTTTCTTAAACAGAGTGATGGTGTGGAGCCTGATTATGTGACCAGCGCAAAGATGTCCCCCAAAAGGAAAATTGCTTTCAGCATGAATGTAAGTGACTTGAATGGCGTTTTGTTTTTCCTAAACTGTTAAAAGCTAAACCAAACACTGCTGTACGTGACCCAGAACATGTTAACATACCCATCTCTTGTCCCATTAGAACTCTGTGGCTAAACCAACCGTGGTGTCTTCACTGAGTGCTAAAATAACTCCCAGAGTGGACAGCCATGAAAGCAGGAAACCCTATGGCCACTGGATTCCAGTGAAATCGGTCCCAAACTCCAACACACGCTGACACATACTTGGCATTTTAACTCTACTGTGGGAGAGTATATGGACACTAAATCATTTGTACATAACACTGATTTCATGGTCAACATTTTCTTTCAGATGTTATCAAGTTAAGTGGCAAGGAGTGAAGATTTCCTTCCAGGTGGGATAGTTTTATTCCATTCATTGTGTATTGTGCTGTTTATAAAATCAATAAAGACTTATTCATAAAAGTTTTTGTAAGGACTCCTAAATCACAGATCTGCATTAGGTGTCTCAATTTTGAGCCTTGAAATTCAGGTGTTGAAGGAAAAGTCTTTGAAGTGGTTTATCAGTGGGATTCAGAAGGAATAAGACTGGTAGTTTGAAGTGGTTTATCAGAGTGGGATTCAGAAGGAATAAGACTGGTGATAATTCAGAATGCATGTTATTCCATAGCTTTTTAAATACAAATGCATTCAAGTAGGGTCTAGGGTACATTGAAAACCTGGGCTTCATAAATGTAAACTAAAGAGAATAAGTAAAAAATGTATAGTGGGATATACCGGTGAGCCAAACTCCTCCATAGCATTCACTGCAAAAACATGCAGGATTAGCTTTTTGGCCATGATATGAAATGATAATGGGGACAGTCAAATTCTATGTACCAGCTTCAGGGTTCTGGTATTGTATAAGCTGGCTGTGTTATTAGTAGCTCCTGTTAGTCAGAATGTGTGCTGTGACTTGGTCATATCACTAATCCAGGAATCACAGCTGCACTTGAATGTTTTGATTGGATCATCCAAACCTTCCATCACTACCAACTGTCTGCTAGCACCAGTTCCTTCTTAACTTGGCACAGCAGCCACAGTAAAAGAATATATTATTTACCCTAAATCTTGTATTTAATTTTGACAGCTCCTTGGAATATTAGAATTACTGACACTTTCTTGTTTTTAATATTCATAACCCCGAGCACTTAATCCACTCCCTAATGGCTCTAGAGCAGTTGCCTATCAAAGGTGTAATTCTGAAGAGTTCCTGTACACTTCAACAAAACAAACGGTGTGTGTCATGGTGACTTTGCACATGTATCCTTTGAAGGTCGTCCCATATTCATTGTGTGATAACAAATGTAAGGTTGACTCAGTTTAATGCTGGTATGACTCTCCCCTCAGGCCTACGCTATAGCTTCCTGCCCTGTAGAGGGTGCAATGCCTCTATGTTCAGACAGGCTTCAGTCCAGGAACAGGAGACTTACATGGGAACCTGGTTTCATGTCTTTTATCTCCTCTTCAGTCACAAGGCTTTCCTGCTCATGTCACAGCTTAAGGCGAGCTAGATCGACTGAGATGTGGATGATAAGTAAATTGAATCGCTCAGTTGTTGGCCCTTATCCGCATGTGTACCTACACAAACATTTTTCTGGCTGGCATCTTCTGCTAAACATGCCCGGAGGTATGATGGTTGTTAACCGCAGTTCGTTCTAACATTATCTTTGTTGCAAGACCACACGCAGTGAAGCCACAGAAAAACCAACCAAAACCAGTTTGCGAGTGAACTGGATAATTGGAAGTGGTTTATTTAAAAATGAAGAGAATCATAACAGCATTTTCTTAAACTTCTAATACTGTACAAAGAAACACTGCACATTACATATCTTAGAGAATTAAATGACCTTAGAGGTAAGGTACTCAAAATAACCCCAGTATGATATAAAAATGTCTGAGAAACTGGCTTACAATACAGTCCATTCTTGTTTTTAAGTACATGTATTACTGAGAAGCAAAAGCGGCATCCAAGACACTTTAATGAAAGCGTAACGGCAGTGAACGCAGAGGTGACTGGACCTTCTAGACAGCTGTGCCTCTCTCCAAGTTCTGCTTGATCTCTGCTGTGTATTTGCCGTAGAAACGCTCCGCCTTCTTGTTGAACTTGGCATTCCTCTCGTTAATGTAGTCGATGTCTGCGTCGTCGTTGTAGGCCCTGCGTCGGCTGTACTTGGCCCGCTTCTCAATCCTGACAATTGCAAATAAAAACAGCTTTTGGGGGATTTCATAAACCAGTGCCATGGCCACTCTCCATGGCATATCCAGTAACAATAATTGGCTGCAGGCAATAAGTTGGTGGTGTGCATTTAAATTTGGCAATGGAAAATCAAATACACATACACACTCAAAAGAAAATATTGTCAATTTGTGAGCCCCCAGTCTTGATTCACTCTATCTTCAAAGCATTGTTGTGCGTCATGCCCTGGCAACGGAATCCTTGTCTAATGCCCTGCGGTCACATCTCAAACACAAGCCTTAGACTGTCTCAAATACAGAACGGCTCTGGGAAAGAGCAGGGTAATCAAAGGTGAAAGGGAATAGCAAAGACAGCAACTTGAAAAAACATATACACACACACACACACAAAGTAGTTTGTGCATTTAGGAAAAAAACCTTCTTCTTGCTCTCATTTCGTTTCCTCGTTGCTTATGCAAGCACACTGCACATGCACACTGAAAGCCATTGTACCAATGTCCAATTGTTCGTGTGTTCAATACACCTGGCCAATAAAGCCAATTCTGACTCAGATTCAGTGGAAGTCCTATCCTAAGCACTCCGAATCGCCTTTGTGTATGAAAATGTGTTATATAAATAAACTTGCCTTGCCTAAGCTGTTTGAGGCAGCAGTTGGTTTGATGTGGGGGACACCAAAAGTACCATTTAATCTGTGCTGTGACGTGTGGTTTTCATAAAGGTTTGTCAAACCATCTACCCACACCCACTTATGTGATTACTTGGTAATGGTGGAAACCATGGGGCCATCTGAGTAATATCAGGTCATGTATAGGCTGCTACAGCCTGACTAGGACCCTGAAAACCGTTCTGTGTAAGAAGGCCCACTTAGGTAAGTTGCTGCCTCCCAACAAAGCATCACACCATGCTGATGATAGAGAGCTACTGGCATCAGGATTTCCACTCCAGGGCTCCAGGGCTCATTTCATCCGATCAGATAAACCCTGGTTCACACATCCCCTTTATTAAACTGGCAAAGAGGTCACAAATGCACCTCTTTCTGCACATAATTTACTATGACAGTCTCATATTTCCAGACTTATCTCTGCACTATATTTGTGATGTGCCAGTGCCAGGAAAAGGTTTGACTGGACCCACCATTGAATTGCTTAAGACATTCACAATTAGTAAGACTTATCTTAAACAGCTCTGAGCCTTGCCTTTCCTAAATAAAGTCACTGAGGGATGAAATTCTATACAGGAGGATGGTATATACAACCAAGTTAGCCTGGTACAGTGCTTTATGCTGTTTCTCAGCCACAGAGAGTGTAAATGAAAGAACAGTTAGCACTGTATGAAGGTTGATCTTAGTCTGACATGCTGGCCAGACTGGTCAAACTGATGCTGTGACACAACTAGTGGAGGATCAGGATATAACATGCCTCTTCCATTGTCTGTTTTTAAGTATGACTTACTGTTTCTCAACGTCTTCCACCATACGGTCAACACCCTCCTTTGTTGGGACGTGGGTGCCGTGGAAGAGGCTATTAGATGTGGGGTGGAAGTCCTCACCACTGTGGAGCATCAGGAACAGTAAATTAAAGAAAGCAACTGGATATGCATTCCCACAAATAATCACAATTTTACATGCCTTTTCTATTGCCTCACTGTAATTATGGTCATTCTAATGAGAGACGATTATATGGTGGCCTTTAATGGTTAACCCTATGAAAAGGCTTAACTCACCATTCCTCGCGCTGTTTCTCATAGGTGTCCATGTCTGGTCTGATCTGCTTGGTGAGCCTCTGGTACTGTCGGAACTGAGCCTCGGCATAACCTGCAGTCCCCCGTGTGAGACAGGGAGAAAAGAAAATAGACTGAATTATAGTTACCAGAACAAACAGCAAACAGGCATGAGGCTCAGCAACACAACCTGTGTCTGGTTAAGGAGGGATGCAAGGAGGCAACTCTCCTCGCTTCCTCTCTTGAAGACCCTCTGGTGGTAATTTTCTCCCCAGAAGTTTTAATTTAGAAACAGATGGCAACCATATTTAGGAGACACAGCAAGTTTTTTTTTCTTTCACTAAATTAAATTGGGAGCGGTTTGAGAAGATTAATATCCCAAGGGGTCCTTATATGCAACCAGTATTGCTCTATACACTGCTACTACGTAGACAGTACTATCTTTAGTAGCATGTCATTATTATTACCACAGGGTCTACAGTAGGCCTGTATGAATCAAACTGGCTCTCTAAACCAGAAGATGTTTTAAGCAAGAAAATACTGTTAAAATACATAACACATCCAAATCAGGAGACCCCTTTTTTCATAAACACATTTTCTATGTTTAAATGTTGTAACTATGCCCAAATGAAGGTGTATGAATGCAAACATCTTACTGAACGTGATACCTCTAGAAGTACAACATAAAAGATGCATACAAGATTAATTATTGTGACACAACTCATTTACACATATTATTGGGACTCAACTTATGCACCTTTGATTTTGTTCAAGCTCCACAGTTTGAGACTTTCCTTTATATTTACATAGATTGGGCCAGCGTGGCATGATTCTAATGAGTCACAAGAGTGAACCATTTTCTGAAGCAACTGATTCCTTTGGTTCAAAGCTTCGGAAAACCTCGCTTCTCCCATCGCTAACTCGCACAGATATTTATTTGTTTATGCAATATGAATGTGGTGGCAGCATGTGTTGGCCACTCCCGATGGCACGCCAGTTGAAAAATCTGTGTGTATCTGTAAGATTCAGTCTCACAAGGCTGTGTCATCATCCCATTTCCAGGTCCAAACTCCACAAGACCCAAATGGCAGAGCCTGTCACCCTCTACACAGCTCCAATAGAGTAGTCAGTGTAGCTGTTCTGCCTGGTGGCATAACCAAACTCTGTTACCCATCATAGTACATTTTTTCTGATATATACTGTATATATTGTGTTATATGTCTAAATCATTTTTAATAGTACCAAGCTTTTACCATTACTTTAGTTAGTGTAAAATGTGCCAATGTATTGTGTTTACATTAACTGTGTTAACTAGCTAGCATTAGCTGTAGTACAAGGCAGCAAAACAGTACATTTTTAGTTTTATTTCATTAATTTAAGAATAGTGTTTATTTAAGGATTAAGTATTACTTTAAGAATGCTGTAAATTACCTAATCAACTGTAGCCATTTCATTTTTGCCTTCTCATCACAAGGAAAGCCGTAAAATGAAAAAATGGGAAACCGAACACAGCGGCATGTTGAATTAATGAGAATGAACTGAAGTTTGGGCTTGGAAATGGAATGTTATGTCACCACTTAACAAGCAGATATTGATTTGAATAACTTGAAAAGTTTAATAATTTCATTAACAGCTTCCTTTAAGTAACAAGTAGTATATTTTCTGTCATCTCATGATGACCGAAAATCTTTAATATTCATCAAAGCACAACAGAAATTTGTCAAAGCATCAATAAATGAAGGCATCAACTGTAAATTTGATACAATTTACAAATCAAATGTTGAGCCGTAGCTATTCAGTAATGTTGAAGTAAACATATATATACTGAATCAGTCAGTACACTGAATACTGGAAAGTCACTTTAGGCTTTTCCCGTTTAGGGGTCGCCACAGCGAATCGTCACACCGACGACTCGCATGTTGACATTCGGCACATGTTTTAAGCCGGATGCCCTTCCTGATTCATACCCGGGCCGCAGCGGTGAGAGTGCTGCGCCTTAACCACTAGCCTACCAGGGATGGCTATAGTCAGTACACTGAATGCTACTGGTAGAACCTTCTGGTTCCGCTCCGTGCAGAGCGGCAGCAAGCTGCAACAGCTCTGCCTCTTGTGTGTTTATTTTCGTGTTTCCTTGGGCTTCTGTGTTTACTTTTTTTTTGCCATGTCTCTTTTCCGCTTGTGGAGTTGGGCTACCAGGGATACAACTTTTATTGCGTTTGCATCGTGTTTTGTACTTTTCTTACGAGCTTTCAAGTCTGCCTCGAGGGGACCCTTGTGTCGCGGCCCTGACTGTTTGCTCTGCCTGCCAACAGTCGGCTTCCTTGTTGTGAGTTTCTGGGGAT